ACAATATATGTCTTGGATTGTTTATGATAGAAAATCGTGTTGTCATCAGTATGACACAGCTATACCAAGTTTGCAGTCGATAGCACATTGGGAAGTGTGTAAAAATACAAGATTTCTTTTTTGAGAATACAACAGACGAAATGAGTTAAATAAAAAAATTAAAAGAAGCAAATTATTTCAGTAAAATAAAAAAAAGTTTTAGTTTAATTTGCATTTTTTTTCAAAGCGATGTGTTTTACCTTTCCTCTATTTTGCATTCCTTTGGTGGTATTTTTTTTAAATTGTTGTTGTTACGTTCTGACCACGTGCTCCCTTTCTGTACATCTATCAAAGAGCTTCACAGCTCATCGGATTTCCCCCAGTATCAATGCAGATTCTGATTCTAAAAGGTTCTCGTTCACAAGACGACGCAGACGCAGCAGCAGCAGCAGTAGCAGCAGTACCTGCACGTGTGTAATGTGTGTGTGTTGAACTTATTCTTATTTTTTCCGGTAAAGTCACGTAAAAAAATAAAATTAATGAAATAAAAATAAAATAAAAATAAAATCACGACGTTTCAGGTGGAACCGTCACAGCACGCTCGCTGTATCAAGTGATTAATTTTAATTTTTTTTACCTACGTGACTTTACCAAAAAAACCTAAGAATATGAAATCCTTGCAGTCACGAAAGCTTCAAATCTAGAATGTGTTGAACTTCTTTCGCGCCGTACGTGGAGGGACGTGTTGGTTATCTGACTCAAGTCAGATGAGGTTCAAGGTCTTTCTTTCAGAGGCTTTACCACCACCACCGCTCCTGGTTAACTTAACCAATATTAATAATAATAACACGTGTTTGTTTACAACGTGGTGGGTTAACGCCGTTTAATGAACGCGGGTTGTAGACACAGAGACTAACTTTCTCGTACACACACACACACACCACGTTGCCAGGGCAACAGCGGGCTCGTTCATTATTGGCTGGCTGGGAGGGGGGCGTGTGTTAATCTTGGCACTGCAGCGGGAAGGACCAATCAGAAGCCAGCACCAGTCATTAACGCACCACACCAGCCACTAACACGCCAGCACCAGTCATTAACACACCACACCAGCCACTCACACGCCAGTCATTAACACACCACACCAGCCACTCACACACCAGTCATTAACGCACCTCACCAGCCACTCACACGCCAGTCATTAACGCACCTCACCAGCCACTCACACGCCAGTCATTAACACACCACACCAGCCACTCACACACCAGTCATTAACACACCTCACCAGCCACTCACACACCAGTCATTAACACACCACACCAGCCACTCACACGCCAGTCATTAACACACCACACCAGCCACTCACACGCCAGTCATTAACACACCACACCAGCCACTCACACGCCAGACATTAACACACCACACCAGCCACTCACACGCCAGCACCAGTCATTAACACACCTCACCAGCCACTCACACGCCAGACATTAACACACCACACCAGCCACTCACACGCCAGTCATTAACGCACCACACCAGCCACTCACACACCAGACATTAACACACCACACCAGCCACTCACACGCCAGTCATTAACACACCACACCAGCCACTCACACACCAGTCATTAACGCACCACACCAGCCACTCACACACCAGTCATTAACACACCTCACCAGCCACTCACACACCAGTCATTAACACACCACCCCAGCCACTCACACGCCAGTCATTAACACACCACACCAGCCACTCACACACCAGACATTAACACACCTCACCAGCCACTCACACGCCAGTCATTAACACACCACACCAGCCACTCACACACCAGTCATTAACGCACCACACCAGCCACTCACACACCAGTCATTAACACACCACACCAGCCACTCACACGCCAGTCATTAACACACCACACCAGCCACTCACACGCCAGTCATTAACACACCACACCAGCCACCTACACACCAGTCATTAACACACCACACCAGCCACTCACACACCAGTCATTAACACACCACACCAGCCACTCACACACCAGTCATTAACACACCTCACCAGCCACTCACACACCAGTCATTAACACACCACACCAGCCACTCACACACCAGTCATTAACACACCACACCAGCCACTCACACGCCAGACATTAACACACCACACCAGCCACTCACACGCCAGTCATTAACACAGCACACCAGCCACTCACACGTCAGACATTAACACACCACACCAGCCACTCACACACCAGTCATTAACACACCACACCAGCCACTCACACGCCAGTCATTAACACACCTCACCAGCCACTCACACACCAGTCATTAACACACCACACCAGCCACTCACACACCAGTCATTAACACACCACACCAGCCACTCACACGCCAGACATTAACACACCACACCAGCCACTCACACGCCAGTCATTAACACACCTCACCAGCCACTCACACGCCAGTCATTAACACACCACACCAGCCACTCACACGCCAGTCATTAACGCACCACACCAGCCACTCACACACCAGACATTAACACACCACACCAGCCACTCACACACCAGTCATTAACACACCACACCAGCCACTCACACGCCAGTCATTAACACACCACACCAGCCACTCACACACCAGTCATTAACACACCACACCAGCCACTCACACGCCAGTCATTAACACACCACACCAGCCACTCACACACCAGTCCTTAACACACCACACCAGCCACTCACACACCAGTCATTAACACACCACACCAGCCACTCACACGCCAGTCATTAACACACCACACCAGCCACTCACACACCAGTCATTAACACACCTCACCAGCCACTCACACACCAGTCATTAACACACCACACCAGCCACTCACACGCCAGTCATTAACACACCACACCAGCCACTCACACGCCAGTCATTAACACACCACACCAGCCACTCACACACCAGTCATTAACACACCACACCAGCCACTCACACACCAGTCATTAACACACCTCACCAGCCACTCACACACCAGTCATTAACACACCACACCAGCCACTCACACACCAGTCATTAACACACCACACCAGCCACTCACACGCCAGACATTAACACACCACACCAGCCACTCACACGCCAGTCATTAACACACCACACCAGCCACTCACACGTCAGACATTAACACACCACACCAGCCACTCACACACCAGTCATTAACACACCACACCAGCCACTCACACGCCAGTCATTAACACACCACACCAGCCACTCACACACCAGTCATTAACACACCACACCAGCCACTCACACGCCAGCACCAGTCATTAACACACCACACCAGCCACTCACACACCAGTCATTAACACACCACACCAGCCACTCACACACCAGTCATTAACACACCACACCAGCCACTCACACGCCAGACATTAACACACCACACCAGCCACTCACACGCCAGTCATTAACACACCACACCAGCCACTCACACGTCAGACATTAACACACCACACCAGCCACTCACACACCAGTCATTAACACACCACACCAGCCACTCACACACCAGTCATTAACACACCACACCAGCCACTCACACGTCAGGACTAGTGAGTTGAGTGTGCCAGTGAGTGTGTGAGTGTGCCAGTGAGTGTGTGAGTCATTGAGTGAGTGAGTGTGCCAGTGAGTGTGTGAGTGGACCAGTGAGTGAGTGAGTTGTTCAGTGAGTGAGTGTGCCAGTGAATGAGTGAGCCATTGAGTGAGTGAGTGTGCCAGTGAGTGTGTGAGTCATTGAGTGAGTGAGTGTGCCAGTGAGTGTGTGAGTGGACCAGTGAGTGAGTGAGTGGGTCAGTGAGTGAGTGTGCCAGTGAGTGAGTGAGCCATTGAGTGAGTGAGTGTGCCAGTGAGTGTGTGAGTCATTGAGTGAGTGAGTGTGCCAGTGAGTGTGTGAGTCAGTGAGTGAGTGAGTGGGTCAGTGAGTGTGTGAGTCAGTGAGTGTGTGAGTGTGCCAGTGAGTGTGTGAGCCATTGAGTGAGTGAGTGTGCCAGTGAGTGTGTGAGCCATTGAGTGAGTGAGTGTGCCAGTGAGTGTGTGAGTCAGTGAGTGAGTGAGTGGGTTAGTGAGTGTGTGCTATAACCTTGTGACCCGCCCTGATTGGACATCTGTGGGGAAAAAAAGAGCTTTTTAGCAGCTCTTAGGGTCCGTCCATAAATGACGTCACGCGATTTTTTGGACGATGTTTTACCCCCCCCCCTCGTCACACGACGTCACAAAAAGTCAGACCCCCCCCTCAAATATGACGTCAAAAAGCTCTGCCCCCCCCCCCAAAATAAAATATGCTTCAAATCGCTTTAAATTATTGTCATTGTAGTGCGTATTTAATGTGCCGCTGCACTCTGATGTTGTAGGAGAAAACATTTATTGAAAAGTCTATTTAATTAAGTAGAACGTGTTGTCTATGTCTATTTAAAGTTGCACATTTTGATGTGTCGTCACAAATGTCTGACCCCCCCCCCCCCAGGTGCGTGACGTCATTTATGGACGGCCCCTTAGACCAGAGGAGGCCTAAAGGCGTACACAGCACAAAGACTCAGCCACTATGAGAGTAATGGGGAACACCTCTTCACATATTTTGTTACTGGCAAAGGAGGTCCCATGTGTGTGTAAGTTATGATGCAAATTATGTGCGTGACGTCACGGATGTGAAAACTCAAATGACGTCACGGAAGATAAAATGTGGAGTGACGTCACATAAATTAACATGTGGATGACGTCATGGTAGTGGAAGACACGGATTACGTCACGGAAGTGAGGACACGGCGGGCATCGCGAACAGCACATGACGTCACGAAAGTTGAAGACGCGGTTGACGTCACGAAATTGAAGACACCGCAACGTCACGGAAGCGAAGACACGGATGACGTCACGGAAGTGAAGACGCGGAAGTGAAAATGCTGATGACGTCATGAAAAGTGACGTCACCTCACAAAGAATCGTCACCGTGACGTCACGCTAGACACCGATGACGTCACCCGCGCAGAAGGAAGCGGTAGCCGTGGGCACAGCGGTACAGTGTGTACAGTGCGCTGCGCGTGAGCGAGTGGTGATCTCGAAGCCTGCGTCGTTTCGCCTTGTTCGTAACAACTTTTAAAACAACCGCCTCCTCCATCCATCCCTCCCTCCTTCCATCCCACCGAAGAGCTACCCAGGCGCCGTGTTTACAAAGACGACCACCACAATCATCACCACCACCATCACCACCATCATCACCCCCACCACCACCATCACCACCAACACCACCACCATCCCCACCACCACCATCACCCCCACCATCACCATCACCACCACCATCACCACCACCACCCCCACCATCACCACAACCATCAACACCATCATCACCATCACCCCCATCACCACCACCACCCCCACCATCACCACCACCACCCCCACCACCATCACCCCCACCACCATCACCACCATCACCACCCCCACCACCAACACCACCATCACCCCCATCACCACCCCCACCATCACCATCACCACCCCCATCACCACCATCACCCCCATCACCATCACCACCCCCATCATCACCATCACCACCCTCACCAACATCACCACCACTCGCCGATTTGCTGTTCCGTTTAAACCGTCCCAAAGGCGTCGCGTGCGATGGGGAACGGCATGAACAAGGTGAGAGCGAAGCCAGTTCGCCTGTTTCACATTGACAAGGTGGTGGTGGTGGTGTTGTTGGTGGTGGTGTTGTTGTTGGTGGTGGTGGTGTTGTTGGTGGTGGTGGTGGTGGTGTTGTTGGTGGTGGTGTTGGTGGTGGTGGTGTTGTTGGTGGTGGTGGTGTTGGTGGTGTTGTTGATGGTGGTGGTGTTGGTGGTGGTGGTGGTTGGTGGTGGTGGTGGTGTTTGTTGGTGGTGGTGTTGTTGGTGGTGGTGGTGTTGGTGGTGTTGTTGATGGTGGTGGTGGTGTTGGTGTTGGTGGTGGTGTTGGTGGTGGTGTTGGTGGTGTTGTTGATGGTGGTGGTGGTGGTGTTGGTGGTGGTGGTGTTGGTGGTGGTGGTGGTGTTGTTGGTGGTGGTGGTGTTGGTGGTGGTGGTGTTGGTGGTGTTGTTGATGGTGGTGGTGGTGTTGGTGTTGGTGGTGGTGGTGGTGTTGGTGGTGTTGTTGGTGGTGGTGGTGGTGGTGGTGTTGTTGGTGGTGGTGGTGTTGGTGGTGGTGGTGGTGTTGTTGGTGGTGGTGTTGGTGGTGGTGGTGTTGGTGGTGTTGGTGGTGGTGTTGTTGGTGGTGTTGTTGGTGGTGGTGGTGTTGGTGGTGGTGGTGTTGGTGGTGTTGTTGGTGTTGGTGGTGGTGGTGGTGGTGTTGTTGGTGGTGTGTTGTGGTGTGTGGTGGTGGTGGTGGTGTTGGTGGTGGTGTTGGTGTGGTGTTGTTGGTGGTGGTGTGGTGTTGGTGGTGGTGGTGTTGGTGGTGGTGTTGGTGGTGTTGTTGGTGGTGTTGTTGGTGTTGGTGGTGGTGTGGTGGTGTTGTTGGTGGTGGTGTTGTTGGTGGTGGTGGTGTTGGTGGTGGTGTTGGTGGTGGTGTTGGTGGTGTTGTTGGTGGTGGTGGTGTTGGTGGTGGTGGTGTTGGTGGTGGTGTTGGTGGTGGTGGTGTTGGTGGTGGTGGTGTTGGTGGTGGTGTTGGTGGTGGTGGTGGTTGGTGGTGGTGGTGTTGGTGGTGGTGGTGTTGGTGGTGTTGTTGGTGGTGGTGGTGTTGGTGGTGGTGGTGTTTGGTGGTGGTGTTGGTGGTGGTGTTGTTGTTGGTGGCGGTGTGGTGTGGTGTGTGGTGTGGTGGTGTGTTGGTGGTGGTGTTGGTGGTGGTGTTGGTGGTGGTGTTGGTGGTGGTGGTGTTGGTGGTGTGGTGTGTGGTGGTGGTGGTGTTTGGTGGTGGTGGTGTTGTTGGTGGGTGTTGGTGGTGGTGTTGGTGTTGATGGTGGTGTTGGTGGTGGTGGTGTTGTTGGTGGTGGTGTTGGTGGTGGTGGTGTTGGTGGTGGTGTTGTTGGTGGTGGTGGTGTTGTTGTGGTGGTGTTGGTGGTGGTGGTGTTGGTGGTGGTGTTGTTGGTGGTGGTGTTGGTGGTGTTGGTGGTGGTGGTGTTGTTGGTGTTGGTGGTGTTGGTGGTGGTGTTGGTGGTGGTGTTGTTGGTGGTGGTGTTGTTGGTGGTGGTGTTGTGTGTTGTTGGTGGTTGTTGTTGGTGGTGGTGGTGTTGGTGGTGGTGTTGTTGGTGGTGTTGTTGGTGGTGGTGTTGTTGGTGGTGGTGTTGTTGGTGGTGGTGTTGTTGGTGGTGGTGTTGTTGGTGTTGTTGGTGGTGTTGTTGGTGGTGTGTTGTTGGTGGTGGTGTTGTTGGTGGTGGTGTTGGTGGTGTTGTTGGTGGTGTTGTTGGTGTGGTGGTGTGGTGGTGGTGTTGTTGGTGGTGGTGGTGGTGTTGTTGTTGGTGGTGTTTTTGTTGGTGGTGTTGTGGTGGTGTTGTTGGTGGTGGTTGGTGGTGGTGTTGTTGGTGGTGGTGTTGTTGGTGGTGGTGGTGTTGTTGGTTGTGGTGGTGGTGTTGGTGGTGGTGTTGGTGGTGGTGTGTTGGTGGTGGTGTTGGTGGTGGTGGTGTTGTTGGTGGTGGTGTTGTTGGTGGTGGTGTGTTGGTGGTGGTGTTGGTGGTGGTGTTGTTGGTGGTGGTGGTGGTGTTGGTGGTGTTGGTGGTGGTGTTGTTGGTGGTGGTGTTGGTGGTGTTGGTGGTGTTGGTGGTGGTGGTGTTGTTGGTGGTGTTGGTGGTGGTGGTGTTGGTGGTGGTGTTGGTGGTGGTGGTGTTGTTGGTGGTGGTGTGTTGTTGGTGGTGGTGTTGGTGGTGTTGTTGGTGGTGTTGTTGGTGGTGGTGTTGGTGGTGGTGTTGTTGGTGGTGGTGTTGTTGTTGGTGGTGTTGTTGTTGGTGGTGGTGTTGGTGGTGGTGTTGTTGGTGGTGGTGTTGTTGGTGTTGTTGGTGGTGGTGTTGTTGGTGGTGGTGGTGTTGGTGGTGGTGTTGTTGTTGGTGGTGTTGTTGTTGGTGGTGGTGTTGGTGGTGGTGTTGTTGGTGGTGGTGTTGTTGGTGTTGTTGGTTGGTGGTGTTGTTGGTGGTGGTGTTGGTGGTGGTGTTGTTGGTGGTGGTGGTGTTGGTGGTGGTGTTGGTGGTGGTGGTGTTGTTGGTGGTGGTGGTGTTGGTGGTGGTGTTGTTGGTGGTGGTGTTGTTGGTGGTGGTGTTGTTGGTTGTGGTGGTGGTGTTGGTGGTGGTGGTGTTGTTGGTGGTGGTGTTGTTGGTGGTGGTGTCGTGGTGGTGGTGTTGTTGGTGGTGGTGTTGTTGGTGGTGGTGTTGGTGGTGTTGTGGTGGTGGTGTTGTTGGTGGTGGTGGTGTTGTTGGTGGTGGTGGTGGTGGTGTTGTGGTGGTGGTGGTGATGATTGTGGTGGTGTTGTTGTTGTTGTTGGTGTTGTTGGTGGTGGTGTTGGTGATGGTGGTGTTGTTGGTGGTGGTGGTGTTGGTGGTGGTGGTGGTGTTGGTGGTGATGTTGTTGTTGGTGTTGTTGGTGGTGGTGTGGTGGTGGTGGTGTTGTTGGTGGTGGTGGTGTTGGTGGTGGTGGTGGTGTTGGTGGTGTTGGTGGTGTTGGTGGTGTTGGTGTTGGTGGTGGTGTTGTTGTTGGTGGTGGTGTTGTTGGTGGTGGTGGTGTTGTTGGTGGTGGTGGTGTTGTTGGTGGTGGTGTGGTGGTGATGTTGTTGTTGGTGTTGTTGGTGGTGGTGTTGGTGGTGGTGGTGTTGTTGGTGGTGGTGGTGTTGGTGGTGGTGTTGGTGGTGTTGGTGGTGGTGTTGGTGGTGTTGGTGTTGGTGGTGGTGTTGTTGGTGGTGTTGTTGTTGGTGGTGGTGTTGTTGGTGGTGGTGGTGTTGTTGGTGGTGGTGTGGTGGTGATGTTGTGTTGGTTGTTGGTGGTGGTGTTAGTGGTGGTGGTGTTGTTGGTGGTGGTGGTGTTGGTGGTGGTGTTGGTGGTGTTGGTGGTGTTGGTGGTGGTGTTGGTGGTGTTGGTGGTGGTGGCCGCGAGCGGAGTTCGGGTCGCCCAGGTTCGTAGCGCAGCGCGCTAACCGCTGCCCCACCGTTCCCCCGAGTGCATGTGCAAGCAACAGGCAAATCCCGTGGGGTGTTGTGGTCAAGCCACGTGGTGGTGGTTGTGGCCAGACCACGTGGTGGTGGTTGTGGCCAGACCACGTGGTGGTGGTTGTGGCCAGACCACGTGGTGGGTGTTGTGGCCAGGGTCATGTGGAGGGTGTTGTGGCCAGGGTCACGTGGTGGGTGTTGTGGCCAGGGCCACGTGGTGGGTGTTGTGGCCAGGGTCACGTGGTGGGTGTTGTGGCCAGGGTCACGTGGTGGGTGTTGTGGCCAGGGTCACGTGGTGGGTGTTGTGGCCAGGGTCACGTGGTGGTGTTGTGGCCAGGGTCACGTGGTGGGTGTTGTGGCCAGGGTCACGTGGTGGGTGTTGTGGCCAGGGTCACGTGGTGGGTGTTGTGGCCAGGGTCACGTGGTGGATGTTGTGGCCAGGGTCACGTGGTGGGTGTTGTGGCCAGGTTCACGTGGTGGATGTTGTGGCCAGAACCACGTGGTGGGTGTTGTGGCCAGGGTCACGTGGTGGGTGTTGTGGCCAGGGTCACGTGGTGGGTGTTGTGGCCAGGGTCACGTGGTGGATGTTGTGGCCAGGGTCACGTGGTGGGTGTTGTGGCCAGGTTCACGTGGTGGATGTTGTGGCCAGGGTCACGTGGTGGGTGTTGTGGCCAGGGTCACGTGGTGGGTGTTGTGGCCAGGGTCACGTGGTGGGTGTTGTGGCCAGGGTCACGTGGTGGGTGTTGTGGCCAGGGTCACGCTCGGGTTGGAGTGAGCGGCAAGTCCAGCCTTGCCGCCCACAACAATCCGGTTTGTCGGGTTCTTCACTGCAACGCGCCAACACAGAGACACCCAAAACAAAGAACCCCGTGTAGCCTGTAACAGTGCTGTTAGCAAGCAGCAGCAGCTATGAAGGCTACCGGCACTGTGACACACGAGCGGGTGGGTGACGTGGCCAGAAAACCACGCCCGACCGCCTTTGTCTCCCCCCCAAGTGGCAACGTTTCCTACACAGCGCGCCGGATACTCATTTGAGGTTGAGTCGACCTGGAGAAGGCTCAGATCCGGTTCTAATGATCGTGGTGGTGGCCGTGAGCGGGAATCGTTCGCGCTCACCGCAACAGCCATCAGACATGGTCTATCCGCTGCTGAATGAAGACTATCAACCAAAGGGGGGGGGGTCCGCCTCCATATCTCACGACACGAAAAGTTTCCATCATTGCCAAGCAAAGATCCCACGTCGACACTGCTGTACACTACACTATACACTACTATACACTATACACTACTATACACTACACTACTATACACTACACTATACACTACACTACTATACACTACACTATACACTACACTACTATACACTACACTATACACTACACTACTATACACTACAATACACTACACTACTATACACTACACTACTATACACTACAATACACTACACTACAATACACTACACTACTATACACTACTATACACTACTATGCACTACACTACTATGCACTACGTTTGTGTTGTGTTTCGGACGCAACACAAGCATCCGAAACGTCGTGATTTAATTTATTTTCTGCCTACGCGACTTTACCAAAAGAACCAAAGAATATTGAAATCGGTTTGTTTTGTATTGAGAAAAAAAAATGTTGTGCTCAACATTAAATTGCATGCTTTTGTGTGTGTATTTGCAGGTGTTGGAAGGCTTGTACCTGGGCAACATTAAAGGTGCAGTATTTAAAATGCATTTTAAATCGTAATATGTTATTTCTGGTTTTTTGGTCAATGATATCTATTTGTATTTTACCCGGTCTAAGGCCCCACTGAGTTCTGTTGCTACTTTTTGGTGGATATCGGGAGCACGTGGACATGTCTAGCAGCACTGAGACCTCCTTTACCAGTGGCAAAATATAGTGATAGGTTTTTACCCTTTAAACTGGTACAAAACTGACACCTTTATACAAGGCATCATGTTTGCAATAACCGCAACACAAGCAGTCAAAATGCAAACAAAAAGACAACTCTGATAATGATATGCACTGTCCTTGAAGTTGATTGGTCCACACCCGAGACAGCTTTCCTTAGAGCCTAGTCTCACATGGGTTGGACCAGATGATGCCAAAAGGCGCGCAACTCAAAGACAATACACCATCAGAGTATGAGAGCTCGGGGTGAAGCATTTACACCAGAAATTTGGAAAATTCTTTCAAAAAACTTTCAAAGAAAACCGAATGATCTCTCGGCTCAAAACAAACATCTGATTTCGCGTCCCTCTTGTGTCGGTCGTGGAAATTCCACGTTCCCATGGGCGAGGACGAGCATATCCACAGGATGGTACCATGGCTGACTTTCCACAAGGGTGGCGGCTCCTTTGATCGACCCCAGAGAGATTTGGCCGGGTGGTGTGTGCAAGTCCCTGTTGGTGCGCATGATAACGCATTGGAAGGGGGGGCGGGGCTGCACGGGAGGAGATCTTTGTCTGTTGTTGTGTTTGTGTGAGATCTGCCATGCTGATGTTTACTTTGACCCCTCCCTCCCCCACCTCGCCAGATTCCGCCGACTTGAAGCAGCTGCGGGATCACAACATCAGCCACATCCTGTCGGTGCACGACGCGGCCAGGGAGGCTCTGGAGGTGTGGGCCACCACCACGAGGGGGTGGGGGAGGGGGCAGGGGTGGGGCCCTGTAGCTCCACGTGCCAGAGGTCAAACCAGAGGTCGCAAACGGGTTTTGATTCAGTTTAACACGTAGTAAGGCTTTCGCAACCAATATTATTCATAACGTTTTTGGGTTTAGATCGCGTTATTTATAAATGTGTCGTAACCCTCCACCACCCGACACGGCCAATCAGTAAAAAAGTGTCACGTTGACAAAAGACAAATAGTTCACTGCTTTAGCCCACCGGGTTTTGATTCCTTACCCGTACCCGGCCGCACCAGGGTCGCCAACGGGTACCCGTACCCTACCCGATACTTGGCTACCCGTACCCGGCCGGGTATCGGGTAGGGTACGGGTACCCGATTGCGACCTCTGGGATGAAGCCATGTTGCAGGCGCGGGTGGGTTGATTCTAGGAACTTGAATTGTGAGAAGAGACAAGACGTTGGGAAATGAGTGACAAACGGTGACTCACCAGTGACTCACGGCCTACCCGTACCTGTACCCGGCCGCACCAGGGTCGCAAACGGGTACCCGGGTACGGGTAGCCGGGTATCGGGTAGGGTACGGGTATCGGGTACCCGGTTGCGACCTCTGGGTCAAACCCAGCGCACAACTTGATGTGCACTGACTCTCTGAATTATCGACCTACTGGTCGTGAGTCACCCAACGCTAGCGCTTCAACACAAAGTATGATCTGTGTTTTGATTTAGTGTGCTGATCTTAAAGGTGCATTGAAAATGTTGATACTCCGACTGATGCTCCTGCTGTTGTGGAGTGACTCATGCAGCCAGCTATGGCTGCAGGGTTTGGTAGTACATGTTGTTTATGTCGTTTATTGTAAAAATTCGGTCACAGTTCCTATGATCACTGTTTCATTGCTTTTATGGCTTTATTTTGGTGATTTTCGAAAAGTGTATTGGTTTGGCCATGTTTGTTTGTTGTAGTACAGAGTTAGACTGATGGCCTTAATCTAAGTTGTCTTGTGGTTGTTGTTGTTTGACTTGCATCCCACTGGGATTTTTGCACACAGCGTTGGTGTACGGTGCTTTTTCTGCAATATTTTGCTGTCTTTTCTTGGATTTTCTGTTTGCACTCAGTCACATAGTCACTTTAAGATGTTTTTTTGTTCATGTTTTTTGTTTGATGCGGTTGCACCCGATTCAAGAGCCGAACGGCTCACAGGGCTATACCTAATACATGAACTTGAACAGGTTCCCAAAGGTTAGCGGTTAGGCTTGGTGACCCAGAGCTCGAACTCGGGACGTGCAAAGTGTCCCTGACCTGGGCCCATTACGAACCACTCACGATGACCCTCCCTCCCCCACGCCTTGTGTTTTCACTCTCTTCTGCGTGCGCCGTTTCTCTCGCGTAGGAAATGACCTACCTCTGCATCCAAGTGTCCGACACGCCTTCGCAGAACCTGTGAGTTCCACCGCCTGTAATCCCTTGCGCACACGCACGCCCCCAACCCCCCGATTTTTTAAGACGACGTTTTGAGTTTGCACGGCGATTTTGTCGAACCGGGTGAGAACCGGGGAGACCAGAAACCATTCTTGGCTGGCCATCGAACAGAGACGGTCACAGCATCGCACGCGCTTTCAGATAAACTAAGATTTACTTTCATCTTCTTGGTTCTTTCGGTAAAGTCACGTAGAAGGGAAGTAATAAATTAATAAAAATAAAACATAATAAAATAATTCTCACGACGTTTCGGCCACAACGCAAGCAGCCGTTCTCAGGTGAAGAACAGGGCTGTCGGGGAGACAGCGTCTGAGAATTATTTTATTATGTTTTATTTTTATTATTTTATTACTTCCCTTCTACGTGACTTTACCGAAAGAACCAAGAAGATGAATCCCTGCAGTCACGAAAGCTTTAAATCGAAATTTAAGATTTACTTTGTTTTATTTAGCCAGGAAAGGCCCACTAAGCGATGTAGCTCTTTCTCAGAAGCGACCTGGCCACAATCGATAGCTCACCGAAGTGGCTTGTCATCGTCTGCAAATTTATAGCAGCCAAATACTCTAAAATGCGAGTGGATGGGAAAACCGGAGGACCCGGAGAAAAATCTACGTGGCCACGAGGAGAACAAGCAAATTCCAAATACACAGCAGACGGTGTCAGGGTTGGGATTGAACCCACGACCTCCTGTATACCAGGCGAGGTAGTTAACATCTCCTAGCCACCGTGATGATGATGAGAGAGAGACACGCAAACTCCAAATATACAGCAGCAGGCGTCAAGGTCGGGATCGAACCCACGACCTCCTGTACACCAGGCGAGGTAGTTAACATCTCATAGCCATAAGTGTTCACTCACGGAAGACCGGCGTTGTCGTGAAAACGCGTTGCGTGTGTTTCATGCGCGCTCATCTTTTCTCTCTTCCGTCAGGACGCAGCATTTTAAAGATTGCATCCAGTTCATCCACAAGTGCCGCTTGGAAAAGAAGGGCTGCCTTGTTCACTGGTAAGTTCCCCCCTCTCCGTTGGGTTTCTCTCCCACCTCTTGGCCGTTTTCCGGTTCACCGTTGGAGCCGCTGAAACTGCACGCGCACACGAGTAAAACAGCGGCACTCGGGTACGGGTAGGCCGTGAGTCACTGGTAACTGTTTGTCACTCATTTCCCAACGTCTTGTCTCTTCTCACAATTCAAGTTCCTAGAATCAACCTACCCGCGCCTGCAATATGGCTTGATCACGGAGGTCGCAATCGGGTATGCGATACCCGTACCCGGCCGGGTACGGCCGGGTACGGGTACCCGTTTGCGACCCTGGTGCGGCCGGGTACGGGTAAGGATCTCTCATTTACTTGATACAGCTGTCGTGGCTGTGACGGTTCCACCTGAAGACGGAGGCTTGTGTTGCTTCCGAAACGTCGTGAATTTTTTAATTTGTTTTATCTAACTTTTATTAATTAACATTTTTTTTACCTACGTGACTTTACCGAAAAAACCTAAGAGTATGAATCCTTGCAGTCACGAAAGCTTCAAATCTATGGCAATTTGCGTTGATCATCATGAGTTCAGAACTTTTCAGCGTCTCTCTCCACGCACGTACGTTAAACTTCTCTCGCCCTCGTACGTAGCCGACCGTGCCGATCGGAGGTGCGGGGGAAGGACGACAAAGACGGTGGTCACCGCATCGCGCGGCACTTTGAGATGCGCTGCTTCTGCGGCCGTCTGGAACGTTCTTCCGTCTGACATCAGGAAGCCGCCACTGGAGCTATTAAATCATCTAGATTGACGAACTCATTTCTTTAGAACTCATTTTTGCAATTAGTTTGTTGTCCTTCCCTCCGCACGGTTGGCTACGTGCAGTGCGAACGAAGTTCAACAAATGTACGTGACGTGTACGCATGCCGCGGTTTCACTTAACCACCCCTGGGCTGACTCTGACTCTCTCTCTCTCTGTATGCATTCTTCTCTGTCACTCTCACCCTCGTGGTTGTCGACTTGTATCTGCGGGGAGACCCAAGCAGGTCTTTCTTTCACTTCTGCATTCAGTTACGTGGTCCAAGGACAGTCCTACCACTATCATGCCGTCACTGATGTACTGTTTGTTGTTCGTTACGCATGTGGTTTTTGTGACTTTATTGAATGCTGCTTTGTGATACTGTACACTCACCACCTACCCACTCATTCACTCGCACACTCATCCACACAATCATCTACACAATCATCCACACAATCATCCACTCACACGGTGACCCACTCACTCATTCACCCACCCACCCATTCACCTACTCACCTGCCCACCCACTCATTCACCCACCCACTCATTCACCTCATTCACCCACCCACTCATTCACCTACTCACTCCCCTACTCACCCTCCCACTCATTCACCTACTCATCCACCCGCCCACTCGTTCACCTACTCACTCCCCTACTCACCCACCAACTCATTCACCTACTCACTCACCTGCCCACTTATTCACCTACTCATCCACCCGCGCACCCACTCATTCACCTACTCTCACCCACCCACCCATAAATTCTCCTACCAACTCACCCGCTCACCCACTCACTCACCCACCCACCCACAAATTCTCCTACCAGCTCACCCACTCACCCACCCACCCACAAATTCTACCAACTCACCCACTCACCCACCCACTCACCCACCCACTCACAAATTCTCCTACCAACTCACCCACTCATTCACCCACTCACTCACCCACCCACAAATTCTCCTACCAACTCACCCACTCATTCACCCACTCACCCACCCACCCACAAATTCTCCTACCAACTCACCCACCAACCCACCCACCCACGCCACTCTTTGCAAACCAACCTCGTCGGTTGTCGCGCGTGGCTCGTGTGCGAATCAACAATCGACGCGAGGCTGCGATCGCCGTTGAGTCGTCGTCGTCGTCGTCATCGTCGTCGCCGCTGTGTCCACAGCCTGGCGGGCGTGTCCCGGAGCGTCACCATGGTGGTGGCCTACATCATGACGGTGACGTCGCTGGGCTGGGAGGAGGCCCTGGTGGCGGTGAAGACGGCCAGGACCTGCGCCAACCCCAACCTCGGCTTCCAGCAGCAGCTGCAGATGTTCCAGAACGAGCAGCTCACGGAGGTGGGCAGAGACACGGGGGGGGGGGGAGCGGTTGCGCGTGCGGTCACGTGGATACGGCAACGCGACCGCGAGATCGTGTGTGCGCGTGTCTGTGGGGGTGCGACGGATGGGGCGCCGTGGTGGCTAGGAGATGTTAACTACCTCGCCTGGTATACAGGCGGTCCGTCAGGAGTTCGATCCCGACCCTGATGCCTCTTCTATATTTAGCGTGTCCTCTCTTTAGCTCTCTCCCTGCGGCAGCGTGGAATTTTCTTCGGGTCCTCCAATTTTTCCTTCCACATTTCGAATCGGCGTCACACGTTCAGAGTATCGACACATTTCCACGTGGTGATGATGATGATGATAAGCCGCTTCGTTGAGCTCTCATCTGTGATGGCTGGGTCACTTTCTGAATAAGTTGTTATCGAGCTCAAGTGGGCCTTACCTTGTAAAAGGAAAAATAGTTTTCGTTTTATCTCCTCCTACTGGCAATCGGATGGCCGCTTTGCAGGCCGGGTGCTCAGTCTCGCTGTCCCACACAGGGGCAGCTGTTACTGGGGGTGCCCTTTACAAATGTGGCTGCCCCCCCCCCCCCACTGAAAGTGAAGGGCGCGGTATAAAACCCCGCGGCATCATTAATTACGTTTTTGCAGGAGAATGTGAAGTTGCTATTTGTAATATCGAGCAAGTCATTGGCATCTAAACTCCCAGCACTGGGGTGTTTTGGGCCACAGTTTCAGTTACGTTGCACGGTTATTGTGTTTGTGTGATTATGGGAACGAGGCAGAGAAACGGGAGGAAAGCCATGCAGAGCAGGGGGAGAGAATACAATCTCCACTCGCACGCACTCGCACATTCACTCACTCGCTCTGCAGAACAGGGGAGGACACACAAACTCCACTCCGTGTGTAGCCAGGGTCCGCGTACGTCCATGTGTTTGCCTGTGCGAGGGTCCGCGCGTGCCTGGGTCTGTGTTCGTCTGTGCGCGTGTCTGCGCGTGGTGGGTCCGAGCATACATCCACGTGGGTCCGTGTGTGCATCTGTGTTGGTCCGTGTGTACGTCTGTGTGGGTCTGTGTGTGCATCCACGTGGGTCTGTGTGTGTGTCTGTGTTGGTCCGTGTGGGTCCGTGTGTGCATCCACGTGGGTCTGTGTGTGTGTCTGTGTTGGTCCGTGTGGGTCCGTGTGTGCATCCACATGGGTCTGTGTGTGTGTCTGTGTGCGTCTGTGTGGGTCCGTGTGTGCATCCACGTGGGTCTGTGTGTGTGTCTGTGTGCGTCTGTGTGGGTCCGTGTGTGCATCCACCTGGGTCTGTGTGTGTGTCTGTGTGCGTCTGTGTGGGTCCGTGTGTGCATCCACGTGGGTCTGTGTGTGTGTCTGTGTGCGTCTGTGTGGGTCCGTGTGTGCATCCACATGGGTCTGTGTGTGTGTCTGTGTGCGTCTGTGTGGGTCTGTGTGTGTGTCTGTGTGCGTCTGTGTGGGTCCGTGTGTGCATCCACATGGGTCTGTGTGTGTGTCTGTGTGCGTCTGTGTGGGTCCACGCGTGCATCCACGTGTGTCCGTGTGTGCGTCCCTACCCCTGACGTACTACCCCTTTGTGTGTGCGTGTGTAGACGCGCCAGTGGCTGCGCGCGGAGTTTGGGGAGCCGTCCCCGGACGACGAGTTGGAGGCCCGCGCTCTCCTCGCGCGGCACGAGCAGCAGCAGGAGCACCGCGACACCCGGGACGGGGCACACTGGCCGCCGAGGGGGCAGCCGTCGTACTCCCTGCACCACCTCGGCTCCTCCTCGCAGCCAGACAGCGACGGCTTCCGCTAGCGGGGCCGGTGGGGCGGGCGAGGTGGGGTGCGGATGGGGGGGGTTTGACGCGCGTGTGTCTGTCCCTGTGGGTGTGTGTGTGGGTGGGTGGATCTGTGTGTGGGTGGATCTGTGTGTGGGTGTGGATCCGTGTGTGGGTCCGTGTGGGTGGGTCTGTCTCTGCGTCCGTGTGGGTCCCTGTGGGTTCCTGTGGGCCGTGTGTGCGTCCGTGTGGGTCTGTGTGGACGTTCGTGTGGGTTCGTGTGAGTCCGTGTGGGTGGGTCCGTGTGAACGTCCGTGTGGGTCCGTGTGGGTCCGTGTGGGTGGGTCTGTGTGGGTCCGTGTGGACGTCCGTGTGGGTCCGTGTGTGCGTCCGTGTGGGTCCGTGTGGACGTTTGTGTGGGTCCGTGTGGGTCCGTATGGGTAGGTCTGTGTGGACGTTTGTGTGGGTCCGTGTGGGTCCGTGTGGGTGGGTCTGTGTGGGTCCGTGTGGACGTCCGTGTGGGTCCGTGTGGGTGGGTCTGTGTGGGTCCGTGTGGACGTCCGTGTGGGTCCGTATGGGTGGGTCTGTGTGGACGTTTGTGTGGGTCCGTGTGGGTGGGTATGTATGGACGTCCGTGTGGGTCCGTGTGGGTCCGTGTGGTGGGTCTGTCTGTGGGTTCCTGTGGGTTCCTCTGGGCCGTGTGTGGGTCTGCGTGGGTGCCTGTTGGTTCGTGTGGGTCCGTGTGGGTCCGTGTGGGTCCGTGTGGGTGGGTCTGTCTGTGGGTTCCTGTGGGTTCCTCTGGGTCGTGTGTGGGTCCGCGTGGGTGCCTGTTGGTTCGTGTGGGTCCCTGTGGTTCCGTGTGTGCGTGGTTCCGTGTGTGTCCCCTACCCCTGCCGTGCTACCCACTCCCTACTTAACCCCCTGTTCGGTTTCGATTTAAAGCTTTCGTGACTGCAGGGATTCATCTTCTTGGTTCTATCGGTAAAGTCACGTAGAAGGGAAGTAATAAAATAATAAAAATAAAACATAATAAAACAATTCTCACGACGTTTCGGCCACAACGCAAGCAGCCGTCCTCAGGTGAAAACCAGGTCCGTCGAGGCGACAGAGTCTGACGGACCTGGTTTTCACCTGAGGACGGCTGCTTGCGTTGTGGCCGAAACGTCGTGAGAATTGTTTTATTATGTTTTATTTTTATTATTTTATTACTTCCCTTCTACGTGACTTTACCGAAAGAACCAAGAAGATGAACCCCTGTTCGGTGTTGGATCCCCTTGAGGTTGGGTCCAAGTGTGAACGGGGCGCCACGCTGGCTAGGAGATGTTAACTACCTCGCCTGGTATACAGGAGGTCGCGGGCTCAATCCCGACCCTGACGCCTGCTGCTGCTGTATATTTGGAGCTTGCGCGTCTCTCTCCCCGTGGTCGCGTGGATTTTTCTCCGGGTCCTCTGGGTTTTTCCCTCCACGTTCAGATTAGAATCAACGTGCGTTTATAGAGTTTTTTGGCCGCTGTACAATTTCTATGTGATGATGGTAAGCCTCTTTGTTGGGCTGTCATTTGCGATGGTCAGATGGCCTCTGAATAAGAAGCTGCATAGCTCAGTGCGGCCTTGCCTGGTTAAAATAAAAAAACATAGTTGAGTAGTTTTGAATGCGGTTGGGCTACTCTCACGGAGAAGGCCTTGCCTGGTTAAAAAAAAAATTAGTTGAGTAGTTTTGGATTTAAAGCTTTCGTGACTGCAGGGATTCATCTTCTTGGTTCTTTCGGTAAAGTCACGTAGAAGGGAAATAATAAAATAATAAAATAATGAAATAATTCTCACGACGTTTCGGCCACAACGCAAGCAGCCGTCCTCAGGTGAAGAACAGGTCTGTCGGAAAGACAGCGTCTGAATGAACACCACCAGGCTTGGCAGCGTATATTTAAGCTGGGTTGGTGTTCATTCAGACGCTGTCTTTCCGACAGACCTGTTCTTCACCTGAGGACGGCAGCTTGCGTTGTGGCCGAAACGTCGTGAGAATTATTTAATGTTTTATTTTTATTATTTAATTATTTCCCTTCTTTGTGACTTTACCGAAAGAACCAAGAAGAATAGTTGAGTAGTTTTGAATGTGGCTGGGCTACTCTCACGGAGAAGAGCCGCTGTGAACTTTGACGGCAGCGCTGCGTTGGTTGCTTGTCGGGACTCGGGCCCCGGAGAAAACCGTCCAGATCCGTGAAGGCGTTGCCCAAAGCTTGTCCGTCCGTGCGTCTTTCCCGTCCGCGTTGTCCGTCCGTCTTGTCTCTCTGAAACGAGGGGGGGGGGGGGTTCAGGACGAGTCTCGTAGAGCCCGATGCAGTGCGAATAAAAACGTTTAGTTACTGAGCCGCTGCGTCGCTGCTGCCCCGGGACTTCACCGTAGAGAGGGAACACCGGGCGACTTTGGTGAGCGCGGTCGGATACACACGGTGCCAGTGAAGCTCAACGTGCACGCACACACACACGCGGGCACGCACGTGGGCACACGCACGTGGACACACGCACGCGGACACACGCACGCGGACACGCAGAAACCCCGGCAGACGCAAGCGAGGGCAGAATTGACTTTGCGTAAAGACGCGAGCGGACCTCGCTCTCGCGACGGCCACCGTGTCCAGCTTCCATCAGTCCTGCTCGTCCCGAGGGAAGGAAGCGGGGGTCCCCCCCCCACCCCCCCCACCACGCCCTAACGCTGGCTCCTCGCAATCGCGAAACTCTATCAACCGCAGCCGCTTTGTCCTTCCCATCCGAGCAAGTGTTTGCGTAACAGTGACTGTTAAACGGGCGCATTCAAATATCGCAACGGCCAAATCGGGAGTGCGCAAACGTTTCATCACGTGGCGATGAAACGCGTCGCTGCAAATCGCAGTGCTACTCTGCGAGCAACCGAGTTGCAACCGTTTGCGAGCAACTGAGTTGCAACCGGTTGCAAGCAGCTGCATGCAACCGGTTGCAAGCAGCTGTACGTAGGGGGGGGGGGGAATCGACAAGAAACGAACCTTGCTTATCCCCCGCACCTCCGAGTAACATGGTTGGCTACTTCTAGATTTGAAGCTTTCGTGACTGCAAGGATTCTTAGGTTTTTTCGGTAAAGTCAACGTAGGTAAATTTTTTGTTATAAAATAAAAATTAAATAAAAAATCACGACGTTTCGGAGGCAACGGAAGCTTGTGTTGCCTCCGAAACGTCGTGATTTTTTATTTATTTGACTTTTATTAATTTTAAAATAAATCACCTACGTGACTTTACCGAAAAAAACCTAAGAATATGGTTGGCTACGTACGCTGTTAAAGACGTTCAACGTAAAGTCGGCGCTTAGGCAACGGTAAGAATTCCACATGCCTATGACGAGCGCCTGTCCATCCAGAAAACGACCACTTTTGGCCAGCACAAGTTGAAGCCATAGCCGTGCCCTGATTAAAAAAAAAAAATCTCCAGCGTCCATGAACCAGCCGTAGAAATGACATTCCTGTGAGGGGCATCAGGGGTAGGGGGGTGACACGTTGGGGTGATGCGGCGGGTGACAATTTAAGGACGAGTGGGCAACAGACAGCTGTTGGGTGTGCGTTTGTCTCTCCGATGGCCACGTGACGGGGTGGAGGTTGCGGCAGAGGTCGCAAACGGGTTTTGATTCCTTACCCGTACCTGTACCCGGCCGCACCAGGGTCGCAAACGGGTAGCCGGGTATCGGGTAGGGTACGGGTACCCGGTTGCGACCTCTGGGTTGCGGCGAAATCTGCGTTGGGCCGATTCGATTAATTCCATGGCTGTCCACCAGGGGGGAGGGGCAAAGAAAATTTGGCCCGAGTTAATTTTACGACGGTCCCAATACAAACACTGAAACCATGCGGGTTTACGCAGCACCGAAGTGGGACCGACTCAAAAATATCGGGGCTTCATTCCTTTACAGACAGGGGCAGTCAAGGTATAGATCTCTGTGCGAGTGTGTGGGTGTCCGTGTGAGTCCGTGGGTATCTGTGCAAGTCCATGGGTCTCCGTGCGAGTCCCTGGGTCTCCGTGCGAGTCCATGGGTCTCCGTGCGAGTCCATGGGTCTCCGTGCGAGTCCCTGGGTCTCCGTGCGAGTCCATGGGTCTCCGTGCGAGTCCCTGGGTCTCCGTGCGAGTCCGTGGGTCTCCGTGCAAGTCGGTGCGAGTCCGTGGGTCTCCGTGTGAATCTATGTACCGTCGAAATGCAACCGTATCTCAAGATGCAGTTCAGGAACGGTGATTGTGTTTATGTTACGTATATAGAGAGACAGAGAGAGAGGCAGTCGGACCCGGGCAGGGGAGAATGTCTTGAGCCTGGACAGGAGTTGGGGGTAAAGGGGCCAGTGTTTGCGCTCTGTCGAGGAAGCCAAGCGGAAGCTTAAGGAGTCCCAAGCAATCCAAGGGGCACCAGATTCACACAGAAAAAAAAAAAACACAAATATGGGAATTGCACCAAATATTGGCTCGAATTCAGATTCGAGTGAACATTAAAACGCCAATTAACCCTTCACGTCAAAGTTCGGTTCTGTGCTTCATTTGGCAGAACTTTGGCCATGAGAATTGCGACGACGAACCTCGTAGGAGAGAGGGCGGGTGGGGACAGTGATGCCCCCCTACTGTGTGGGCACCAGGGGTCGCTTGGTGAAGAAGGGAACTCGGCAGTAGCTCTGCCATATCCACTTCCGCGTGCCGTTCTGTACGGACCAGAGTGTTACTTAAATAAGAAGCGATCTGAAGGTTAATACTCCATATGAGACTAGGCTCTAAAGAAAGCTGTCTCTGGTGTGGACCAATCAGTTTCAAGGACAATGCATAAATGATCAGAGTATTGTTTTTGTTTGCATTTGACTGCAAGTATTGTGGTTAATGTAAACATGATTCCTTGCAAAAGGTGTCAGTTTTGTTGCCAGAAAAAAGGGGAAAACCCCTATTAGTTTACTGAAGGCTTTATTAACCCTGGTTAATACTGAAGGAATATTAACCCATGTAAATACTGAAGCTTTTATTAACCATGGTTAATACTGAAGTTTTATTAACCAAGAATACACTCGGTCTGCCTGCAAATGCCGTGATTACAAATGTCTAGATTTGAAGCTTTCGTGACTGCAAGGATTCATGCTCTTAGTTTTTTCGGTAAAGTCACGTAGGTAAAAAATGAAATTAAAATTAATAAAAAATAAAATAATAAAAATCACGACGTTTCGGAGGCAACACAAGCTATCAGTTGGGACCGTCACAGCCAGATTTGCTGTATCAAGTGATGTATCAAGTGATACAGCAAATCTAGTGATGTATCAAGTGAGGTATCAAGTGATACAGCAAATCTGGCTGTGACGGTCCCACCTGATGACAGAGACTTGTGTTGCCTCCGAAACGTCGTGATTTTTATTAATTAATTTTTATTAATTTAATTTTTTACCTACGTGACTTTACCGAAAAAATTAAGAGCATGATTACAAATTCCCCAAGTTCTTGGTCAACGTACCCACAAACGAACTCAATCGGGATTAAATAACACGGTGCCTTCGCTCCCACACCCCCCCAGCAAAGCATTGCCGAGTCTCAGGACTACCTTGCAGGAGGCTCCTGCCAAGTTTTCGCAGGAGTGGCGGTGGCGGTGGGCTGGGGGGCGGTGTTACGTTATTTATATCCCACGTTGTGTAATTTTGCAGGAACGTTTTTCAGCATCGGGACGTTGTTTTGTTGGCCACTTTCCGTCACGGTCTGCGCACGCATGCGGGCGCGTGCTGCGTGTGTGTTTGTTTTAGCTGCGGGAGTAAACCGAAGAAACCCGGAGGAAACCCACAGCAGTACGTGGGGGGAGAGACGGTATTCGAACTCCAAATTTGGTTTTGCTGACCTGTCTGTACGGATTGCTGAGCGCTGTTCCCCTCGCTCCCCCCCCCTCTCATCATTCCGCGTGGGTTTCTATCGTGGCACGTGGAACAAAGACGTCCCGGTGTGGTAGCACCCTCCTGACGGTATCGG